TTGTGGAAGACAGTGTGGCAGTTCCTCAAAAAACTAAAAATGGAACTGCCGTATGACCCAGCAAGTCCACTCTTAGGTATGTACCCAAAAGACTTGAAAGCAGAAACTCAAACAGATACTTGTATACCTCCATGTTCATTGCAGCTGTATTCACAGTAGCCAAAAGGTGGAAACAACCTAAATGCTCATCAGCAGATGAATGGATAAACAAAATGTGGTACATACATACAGTGGAATACTACTCAGCCAGTAGAAGAAACGAAGTCTTGATACATGCTACAATATGGACAGAGCTTGAAGACATTATGCTGAGCAAAATAAGTCAATCACAAAAGAATAAATATTGTATGACCTCATTTAGATAAAAAGACAAGAAAAGGCAAATGTATAGCGACTAGAGTTTATTAGTGGTTACCAGAGGCAGGAAGGAGAGGGGAGGAGGGATTAATGGTGATGGAAAAATTGCATTGATTACGGGTACGGTTGCATAGCTGATTATTGTAATTGCTGTCAATAAGTTGTACACCTATAAAAGTTGAACTGGCAAAAGTTGTGTGTTAGATATATTTACAGCAATGACCCAAAAAAAAAAAAAAAAGTTGCTGAGGCTGCTTATATACAACCTAACACCTCATGGGATTTGGTTTCCTTGGTTTGGAGGTTTAGTGTTATGGTTTCATGGAACATCCCAGTTAATTGACCTAATAGCGGATGTGTTTAGTGCTTCTGTTCTGCCTCCTAGTTTGTTGCATAGTGCCTGGGGTCTTAAAAGCTTACAGGTGGCCGTCTAAGGCACATTTGGTCCCTATTCACCTGGAGCAACAGAGGGAGAAGGAGAGTCAGGAATAGGAGGAGGAAATGGAATGTGTGACTAATTGCCTCCATGCACAACTACCTCCTCTGCCGTGAGACCAAATGAACTGGATGGTGCCTGACTACCATTACTGAACATTTTGATCAAAGATTCCATAGACAAATCCTGATCAAAAGGGGGAATACGCAGAACAAGATTGCAAATCCTGATAGATTCTAGATTTTCTGGAGCCATGGAGGGTAGACGAACCCCTGAAACTATTTCCCTGCGATAATCTTTAAATCTTAAACCAAAAATATCCCCTAAAGTTATCTTAAAACTGAACAATAGCTTAACTAAAGGTCTGCCTTGAGCATTATACTCTTTTAAGAACTATCTATATGAGATCAAATTGACAGCAACAACTTGGATGATTAAGATTAGATAGGAACCATAGGGGGCAGTGAGTTTATGTTAATGAGGGAGGAACAGCTCAGAGAAGGAGTGTGAGAATGGTTGCACAACTCAAAGAGTGTAATCATTGTCACTAAACTGTGCATGTAGAAACTGTTGGGAGAAAAAAATGAGGTACAGGAGTAGGAGCCTTGTGAGTTGAGGTGAGGTTGGTGAGAGGAAAGGAGTGGTTAGGAAAAACATTGAATAATTCTATTTCTCCCCTTTACGTGGCAAGCATTTTCCCACCCCAATTCCCCTCTTAGAGGTTTATGGGCAGGGACTTTCTTTTAGTCTTTTTTCTTTCTCTTTCTTTCCCTGGATCTTCAAAAAATATTTGAATCAAAAATAGTTTCTCCCCTGGGAAAGTTTGGAATTCCTTAAATATTTTGAAGTTTTAATTAGTGGAGTATACTGTCACCCATGGGAAAACTATACTAGTGGTACAGATCAAACCAATATTCATTAGAACCACACAAACAGATTCTAATTAACTTTTATCTATTAGTCTTTATTGAGATTATACTAAATGTCTTCTAATCAAGCTTGATTTATCTTCAGATCTGTTTATATGCTTTAGATAGTTTTCTTTATTAATTGTTCGCTGTCAGGCGAGACTTGAATATATATACCTTTTTTTCGTTTCTATTTCATGGGAGAGAAGCTGTGTCTTGAAAGGTAAATGGAAATTTATCAGAAAAAGAAGACTGGGACGAGGAGAGATTTTTACATAGCATATTCTATGGGAGAGATATGAGAAATCAAACTTTATAAGAAATTTAATACCTTGGTTTACTTTGTACTAGTAGCAATGTCATCTCAGACTCTTATCAATTAATATTAAAATGTTTTTTTCTCATTTAAAAATAAAAATCTTCTACTCCCCCTTAGTAATTGTAATCATATTAAATAATTATTCCATAGTCTGAAGATTTCGGGATTCAGTTTGGCTTGTGTCTGCTGACCTTACTTAAGTTGTGTGTGTTATTTACTGTTTTTTAATTTTGAATAGTGAGCTAATATTCAGTAGCGCTTTATTGGTGGGAGTCCTGTACAGTCTGGTAAAAGGATTTATACCTCCAGACAGTAATTACATTTGCTGTTTACAGCCCAGCACCAGTTTTTATGTAAATTTGAATCCTCAAACCGGAACCAGGTACAAATCCTGGTATCAGAAGCTTCTTTATGGTCTCTCTTTGCTAATGAGTTTTTTTTTCTAGGTGACTGTTTACTGAGGGGAAATCCTGGTGGCATAGTGGTTAAGTGCTACAGCTGCTAACCAAAAGATCAGCAGTTCGAATCCACCAGGTGCTCCTTAGAAACTGTATGAGGCAGTTCTGCTCTGTCCTATAAGGTCCACAGGGTCGTTAGGAGTTGGAATCGACTTGACGGCAGTGGGTTTGGTTTGGTTTGGTTTTGGTTTCAGGAGCCCTGGTGGTGCAGTGGTTAAGAGCACTAACTAAAAGGTCAGCAGTTTGAATCCACCAGCTGCTCCTTGGAAACCCTATGGGGCAGTTCTACTCTGTCCTGTAGGGTCACTGTAAGTTGGAATTGGCTTGACGGCGGCGGGTTTTTGTTTTGCTTTTTTTTTTTTTTCCTTTTACTAAGGCTGTAGTTGTTTCTAAGTGCGAGGTGTGGGATCCTTTTGCAGTAAACAGTTTGGCCTTTGGTCCTGGTTCTTGAGAGCTTAACCATACCTGAGGTCAATAAATGGGGGCTGACCAGACCAAGAGGGATCACCTGGGGGCCTGATCCTGACTGAGCTTTAGGAGGCATAATGACATCTGTCATGGCCACATGGTGAGGCCAGGAAAAGGCCTTGGAAGACAAGGCTCACTGGATCTTCCTGGGTGGGGAGAGGCAACATCTCCTCTCAAGAGGGTCCGCTCGGGACATGGAAGCTCTGCACCAAGACCCTTCCCAGACCTCACCCTTTGTGTTTGTATTTTTTTTTTTCTGTTAGATTGGCTGCAGAATGGATGTTGTATTAGCAGGCATGAAACAACGTTAATCTCCTTGTACATCTCCATCAGAGCTCTTGGGTGACCAGATGCATTGTCAATGAACAGTAATATTTTGAAATGAATCTTTTTTTCTGAGCAGTAGGTCTCAACCCAGCTCACTGCCGTCGAGTTGATTCCCACTCACAGCGACCCTGTAGGACAGAGTAGAACTACTCTATAGGGTTTCCAAGCCTGTAATGTTTATGGAAGCAGACTGCCACATCTTTTCTCCCATGTAGCGGCCAGTGGATTTGAACTGCCACCCTTATGGTTAGCAGCTGAGCACTTTAACCACTGCGCCACCAGAGCTCCTTTAGGTCTCAACAGTGGGCTTAAAATTTTCAGTAAACCATGTTGTAAACAGATGTGCTGCCATCCAGGCTTTGTTCCAGTTATACAGCACAGGCAGAGTAGATTTAGCGTAATTCTTAAGGGCCCTAGGATTTTCGGAATGGTTAATGAACATTGGCTTCAACTTAAAGCCACCAGCTGCATTAGCCCCACAAGAGAGCCAGCCTGACCTTTGAAGCTTTGAAGCCAGGCATTGACTTCTCCTCTCAAGCTATGAAAGTCCTAGATGGCATCTTCTAGTATAAGGCTGTTTCATCTACATCGAAAATCTGTTTAGTGTAGCCATCTTCATCAACTATTAGCTACATCTTCTGGATACTTGCTGCAGTTCGTCATCACTACTTGCTGCTTCACCTTGCACTTTTATGTTATGGAGACGACTTCTTAAACTTCATGAACCAGTCTCTGATAGCTTCAAACTTCTGCAGTTTCCTCACCTCTTTCTGCCTTCACAGTATTGAAGAGAGTTAGGACCTTGTTCTGGATTAGGTTTTGGCTTAAGGGAATATTGTGACTGGCTTGATCTTCTACCCAGACCACTAAAACTTTCCCCGTATCAGCAATAAGGCTCTTTCACTTACATTTGTGTGTTCACTGGAGTAGCACTTTAAATTTCCTTTGAGAACTTTTCCTTTGCATTCACATCTTGGCTAATTGTTTGACACAAGAGGCCTAGCTTTCAGCCTGGCTCGGCTTTTGACAAGCCTTCCTCATGAAGCTTAATCATTTCTAGCTTTTGATTTAAAGTGAGAGAGACACGTAACTCTTCCTTTCACTTGAACACTTAGAGGCCGTTGTAGGGTTATTAATTGACCTAATTTCGATATTGTTGTGTCTCAGGGAATAGGGAGGCCCGAGGAGAGGGAGAGAGAGATGGGAGGAATGGGCATTCAGACAGAACACACACACTATTTATCAATTAAGTTCACTGTCTTATATGGGCATGGTTCGTGGTGCCCCAGAACAATTACAGTAGTAATAAAAGATGACTGATCACAGATCACCGTAACAAATATAATAATAATGAAAAAGTTTGAGGAAGTGAGCACATGCTGTTGGAAAAATGGCATCAATAGACCAATTGGACACAGGGTTGCCAGAAACCTTCAGTTGTGTAAAAAACAGTACCTGCGAAGTGCAATAGTGAGGTATGCCTGTACTTTATTTCTTAATTTGTAAAAATCTCGTTCTTTCCAGGATGGCCATTCCTCATGCCATCCTGGATCTTATATTCAGGTTTAAAATTGGGCACATTTGCTCAGAATTGCATAGTTAGTGATGATCCATAGGGAAACAAACAAATTTAAAAAGTATAAGTAAGCATTTTTACCCCAGTTAAACCTTTTAGTACAGCCAACCACAGAGCCACTGTTAAAAATTTACCTTTTTCTGTGTTGTAGGAATAGACTTTAAGATCAAAACAGTTGAATTACAAGGAAAGAAGATCAAGCTACAGATATGGTAAGTGATGCAAATTTACTCACTTTTATGTACTGGAATGTCAGATTCCTGAAGGTTTGGAAATTCTGCCTTGTCATCTGTTTAGATTCTGTGAGACTTGCCTTTCTAAAGCCAGCAGTCAGGTGACATTCTTTCAGTGTAGTAAAAAAATTACTGCCATGGACTTTGGAGTTCATCAGATCTGGCTGAGTGTTTTACCTCTGAATATTTATTATGTGAACTTGGGTAAGTTACATACTCTGTGAGCTTCTTATATCTGCATATGTAAGATGGAGATAGTGCCACCTGTCTCAAAAGATTGTTGTGTGAAATAATATATGTAAAGCCTTTATTTAGAACAGTGTTTTGCTCACAAACACACAATATAAAAAGTCTTAAGTGAAATATTTTTAATGTGTTTATAATCTTCTGTACGCATTATTCTTTTTATTGTATAGGGTTTTGCTGCATAGAAGTACAATAAAATTCTTTAAATTTGTATTCAAGTCTGTGTTGTAGACTATTTAAAATTATAATAGTAATATTGTTCAGTGATTATGTGTCTTAATTGTGTTATGTGTACTAATGCATTACATGGTCATAATGATCCTGTAAGGAATGTGTTATTCTTTTTTTTTAACTGCTTTATTGAGGTATAACTTACATACAAAAAACTGCACATATTTAAAATATAGAATTTAGTAAGTTTTGACATATGGATAAGCCTGTAAAACCATCACCACAATCAAGATAATGGACATGTCTGTCACCTCAAAAGTTTCCTCAAGCCTCCTTGTAATACCTTTGTAATCCCTCCTTCCCCCTTAGTCCACAGGGAATCACTGATTTGCTTTCTTTTATCATAGATTAGTTTTCATTTTCTAATACTTTATATAAGGAGCCCTTGTGGCCCATTGGAGCCCTGGTTGCACAGTGGTTAAGAGCTCGGCTGCTAACCAAAAGGTTGGCAGTTCGAATCCACCAGTACTCCTTGGAAAACCTTATGGGGCAGTTCTCCTCTGTCCTGTAGGGTCTGTATGAGTCGGAATCGACTTGACAGCAACGGGTCAGTGGTTCGAACCCATTAGCTGCTCTTCAGGAGAAACGTGACAGTCTGCTTCTGTAAAGATAACAGCCTTGGAAACCCTGTGGGACAGTTCTACTCTGTCCTTCAGGGTTGCTATGAGTCGGAATCGACTCGACAGCGATGGGTTTGTTTTGGTTTGATTTAGTACTTTACATAAATGAAATCATATGCTGTGTTCTTTTTCTTTTTTTTAGGGGGAAGTCTGGCTTTTTTTACTCAGCATAATTATTTTGAAAATCGTCAGTGATTTTATGTGTATCAATAGTTGTTTACATTTTATTGCTTAGTAAGATTCCATTGTTAGGATATACCACAGTTTGTTTATTTGTTGATGAAATTTGAATTGTTCTAGTTTTGGGATATTATTAATAAAGTTGCTATGAACATTCCTGTACACATCTTCTTATGGGCATATGTTTTCTTTTCTCATGCATTATCCTTATTTTATAGATCATGAAACAGAAACACTCTGAAATAATTTAACCAAGCTCTCGCAGCCTGTAAGTGGCAGGGTGGAATGCAAACATGCTCAGAATGTAGGTTCCAAAGTGACATTCTTTTTTATTTTAATTTTTTTTTTTTTTTTATTGTACTTTAGGTGAAGGTTTACAGAACAAATAGTTTCTCATTACACAGTCAGTACGTGTATTGTTTTATGACATTGGCTAATCCCACAACATGTCAACACTCTCCCCCCTCGACCTTGGAGGACCTTTTTTCTTTTTTGGTGAAAATATACATAGCCAAAGATACACCATTTCAAAAAGTTCTACATGTACAGTTCAGTGACATCAGTTACGTTCTTCCAGTTGTGCTGCTATTCTCACTATCCTTTTCCGAATTATTCCATCACCATTATCTTCAACTCACTGCCCCCTAAACCTTTTCCCATCAAACCTTTTGAGTTACTGTTGTCAGTTTGATCTCACATAAGATAATTCTTTTTTTTTTTTTTGTACTTTAGATGAAGGTTTACAGCATAGTTTCTCATTAAACAGTTAGTATACATACAGCCCTATGACAATGGTTAAGAACCCCACTACATGTCAACACTGTCCTTTCTTAACCTTGAGTTCCCTATCACCAGCCTTCCTGTCCTTGTCCCTGGGCTGCTGTGCATCATTAGTCCCGTTTTGTTTTATGGGGCTCTCCAATCCCCAGCTGAACGGTGAAGCTTGGGAGTGACTTCACCACCGAAGTGGCATTCATAATTTGCTATACTGTCTCCTGTAGATGGTGCAGTTTGTCGATTCCTTTTGCTGACCTTTCCAGTTACTATCACTTTTCTTTCTTCAGTTGTTTAATGTCTGAATTCATGTTATCTCAGATTTTACTGTAATAGGACCTATCACAGGATGGTTATGAGGATGAGTGATACATGTAAAGCACTTAGAACAGGGCCTGGCACATAAATAATTTCAGTAAATCGTAGCTATTATTATTTGGGGATCTCCCATTCTGAGGGTAGAACCCTAAGAATAATAATGTTTTATTTTAGGGTATGAGCAGAGGAGGAAGTTAGCAACAGAGATTACAAAACTGTACTTGGAGAGTTAGAAAGAGAATGATGAGGGAACAATGTCACAGAATCTGAAAGAAAACAGTTTCAAAAAGCTAAGCATTACCTTTTAAGGAAGCTAATATTAGAATTAAGATGTGTATACCCAGAATGCCTTCATTACCTGACCATGTAATTAGAAGTTATAATCTTAATCCATAACATCTTTCAAATTTAATATAAATACAAATAAAATTTAGAGGTTTTAAAGTGTTTCCTAAGACTAGCGATTCTCTTTGAAACAAAATCCACTTGATAATCATTGATTTTTACTAATTTTATCTGGAAAATAATTCAGCACATGAACTGTGGGTTCTGATTCATGTTTTGTTTCATTATAATTAAGGCTGATCTTATGGGAAAGGTTGTCAACTATTTGAATTTCAACCAGTTTTTCCTCACCCCCCCGCCCCCCCATGTGTTATGCTGGACCTTGGCTCTGCATATGATGGTCTACGTTCCAAGCCTCTCCTAAGACCTGCCACCTTGATTGGCTCTGATCTCAACTGCATCCTTTTCTGTACACATTTTAGGCCAGTAATTTTTAGACTTTTTTTGACAGTAAAGAGATACATTTTACTTTGTGATTTGATGTGCATATACATGTACATATGAGTGTATATATAACAAAAGTTCACAAAATTTTTTTTTCAGATATATTCTGCTTTGCTTAATATGTAAAACCTTTGCCCTACTAAATTTGTCCTGTTCCTCCAGCTACTCTCCCTCTTCCACATGCTTTTCTGTTCTTGACCTTGTGGATTTATAATTTTTTTTCCTCTTATTATCATTTTAATGCATGTGCAGCTTTTGGAAGTAAACAGTAACACATAACTAACACTTGTTTTTAAAAAGAGATCATCCCTTAAAAGATGCTCTTTTGGAACAGTAAGTTCTCCAGCGTGACCTTCAAGATTAATCTAGAAAGATTTCTACTGTACCTATAAAACTAAATTATAGCAAAGAAATGGTAACATATCTAGAGTTGTTTAATTTTTAGTCATTTTAAATAGAACCTCTCTTAGGTAAACACTTCAAAAGGAAAATTTTATTTAGTCTAGGTTTTCACATACACAGCTGACAATCTGAAGTATCCATTTTCCTGTGAAGATCAGAAATGAGTGACTGATTAAAATTTGTAATTAATAGTTCTTAAGAGGTTTCCATTGTGCCAGCTTATTTTGTTTCTTTGCTTGAGTTGTGCTAACATTCCAGGGAGAAAGAAGCCCTTTAGCTCTAGGTTAAGAGATCTAGAATATGCCATAGTAATTCAAAAAAGCTTTTAGCATGAAAACCCCATTACTTATAACTTAAGATACACTGAAATGCAAAACTCTGTCCTCAAAGCAAAATGCTTTGCTTCTGTTGTTAGTTGCTGTGGAGTCGATTTTTGACTCATAGCAGCCCCTGTGACAGAGGAGAACTGACCCATAGGGTTTCCTAGACTGTAATCTTTAGGGGAGCAGTTCACCAGGTCTTGTCTCCTGCGGAACTGCTGGTGGGTTCGTACTACCCACCTTTCAGTTAGTAGCCCAGCACTTAACCATTTTGTCACCAGGGCTCCTTTTCTTTGCTTGCTTCTACTTGCTACTAAAATAAAAAACCACAGTGATGTTTATATCTCTCTAGTCCAAATGAGTGTATTCAGATCCTCTAAAATTCCTGTTCTGTAATTGAAGAATATTAGTTTTGGAAACCTCCTTCAGTTTGTGCCATAGCTTGATCTTATTTTTCTTTACTCCATGATCTTCACTTGTTTTTTCTTTCCAGGAAAATTTCAATCTGTTTGTTCATAAGGGTGGAGGTGTGTCTTACTCTGGCCAGGGCATATGTGTCTAGGCCTAAAATAGCTTTTGGCAGATGAGAGAAGCAGCTGTGGCTTTTTTTTTTTTTTTTAACATTTTTTTTTTAATTGTGGTGAAAATATATACACCAAAACATTTGCCAGTACAACAAATTCTGCATTTGCAATTCAATGACATTGATTACATTCTTAATGTTAGCCGTGGCTTTTTAAATCCCAGATCTGCAGAAAGTTTCCACCATAGTCTCTTTTGCTACCTATATTTTCCACAGAATAGCGGGTCTTGCCAGGAAAACAATCATTGTGAGATACTTCAAGTCTGCCTCTCTTTTGGGTGTATGTGGGGTATGTGTTGGTGTGTGGGGGTGGGGGTGGGGGTGGGTGTGTGTGTGTGTCTGTGTGTGTGTGTGATGTGATGTGATGTGATGTGATGTCTGCCACTGTCAGCATCTGTATCTTGTACCAGAAGCAAATTTTAACATCAACACAGTCATCTGAAACTAGTAGTGTAATTTGACCGGTGAAGAATTGACCATCTAGCTGCTTGTTTGCTCATGCCAGATACCTTTGAT